TGGGACAGGAAGTGAAGCAAAATCTTCCCTATCGGACATATATGGCAAAAAGGGGTTATACAAACAACCAAAATTGTAAAAATTGTTTTGGTTTTATGTATACTTTATGTAAAGTTAATGAAAGATCCACTTTAAAACGTGTAGATGTCACAGAAGACTGGGATGGTTGTGTGGATGCCATGACATGAACATTTGACCTCGCTTTTTCCTGTTTCTGGACTTACAGAGGACTGTCAGCATGGATAGCATAGTTTTTAATGTATAGGCCTTGTCTAGTATGTCTCCCTCCTCCACTGTCAGCACTTATCCATTAATCATGCCTACAGGGACAGGATAAGGGAAGACCCTTTCCTGTAAAAAGCACGAAGGGGAGATAAGGAAAAGCTCAGTGGATGCTTATTTCATATCCAAATGTTTCCTGTGTGGCAGCTCCTCTCCAGGCATCTCCCATACTCCTCCCTACAGTCTTCAGCTAAACCCTTTACATGAAGTCATCCGGAAATGAGAAGGGATTTGCTGTGTGACCTTCCGCTGCCTCCCACCTCTGCCGCCTGGTATCAGTCCTGCTCTTGACGCACAAGCAAGGGGGGATCGCAGCTCTTGGCAATGTAGCTTTTGCTATTCTAAAGGATGGAAGAGGGATTATAGTGAGCAAACTGCTAAATCCGTTTATTTCCCTTTTCCTTCCAAGCCAGAGGGAAATCAGCTCAGCCTCCTGTATTAGATGTGTAGCTACCATCACTTTTTGTGAGGTGGCTACTAGAAATGTAGCGATTGCCAGGGCTGTAATCAGTCTGGCTGAATTATAGTTGGCATATATCTGGTTAATTCCAGGTGTTCTGGTATTGATTGTACCTGCCTGAGTGGAGTGCGACTCTGCTGCAGTGTGGGACAACCAATGGGGGCACTGTAAGTGTGTGTGCAGTCCACCAGCCAATCATTGAGGTTCTCATAGCCAGTGGAGCATGCTGGGACAGGGCATATAAACTCAGGGGAATTGCCATGTGCTCAGTCCAGTTCTGGGTCAGCCCTGTGTGCGGTCAGGGCTGGGTGCCTGGGGGGTGGGAATCCTTAAGTTAGGCTTCATGTTTGGAGAAGGCCTCTCCTACTTCTGATTGAGGAGAAGAACCAGGAAGGCTGATGGCTGCTGGAGGTCCCTGGAATAGAATGGACCTCAGGAGCAGATCTTGTGTCCCGCCTACTGAAGATTCTGTGCCAATCACTACTCAACAGTTGCTCATATATCCAGTGTCAGCTTGTGCTCCTATGCAATCTGCACTGGAACACTTAAAAGGAATAGCGAGTCCGGAGTCTGCTTATTTTTCTCATGGATGTCCTAAGCCCTAAACCTTCTCTCCCAGCTCAGATGTTATAATAAAGTTCTTCAGCATCATACTTCTGGCCTGGATCTCAGCTCTGTTGGTCACTAGAAGAGGGCAGGTAATGCTAGAGGGGCAGCAGGTTGCTACAATCCCTAGACAGGCTATAGATGACCTGGGTATATTTCCAGTGGCTCCTTTGGGGTTAAGCACTACAGATGGAATTCTGATAATAATGACACATACACATTAAAGCTTAGACACCAGACACATATGACAAAAAACACTAACAATTATTCATTCATTACATTTTTTTTCATCCCCTATAAAAATGTTACAATGGCACTACAAGGCAATTAGGCTCTGAGGTAGCCCACATGTACTGACAGGGACCTCGCTGACAGGGGGAAGAATTTACAGGAATGACCTCATCAATGTGTTGCTTCCCTTTACTTATCCAATCAGCATTCTGGGGTGTGTTCTTGACCAAGCCTTGCTGCTGTCGTCAAAGCTGAACTAAATGTTACATTAAAAAAAGTAAAAAAGAGACTTTGTATGTTTCTTCTGCCAAAAACAATTTCCCCTTCCTCTAGAAACTTTTTAAAACTTGTACAGATTGGTGGGCAGCATCGCTTTGGATCTGGCACAGATCAGTTAAAGTTGTACGGGAGGAAGGAGGAGTTTGGGGGCGGAGGACAGTACATTAGAAGTTCAAATGTATCAAAGGATATTGTGCTGTATATTACACCATCCAGCGCCATCTGACATCTGGACACAATCACAATACAGTGTTTATGATCCAATACAAAACAGCTACCTCTGCAGTATCATGCAATGCAGTGCACCAAAGCAACAGGAAGCAGGATTTTTTCATGTTCAATCAATTCACATGGCCAAAATACAACCATACTACATACTATAGAGATATGGAATACTACACTTCCTACATGACCTGTCCACTGGGCATGGGCATAATGCAATCCTACTACACACTATACAGATATAGAATTCTACACCCCCAACATGACCTGACCACTGGACACGGCCATGATGCAATCCTACTACACACTATACAGATATAGAATTCCACACCCCCAACATGACCTGACCACTGGACACGGCCATAATACAATCCTACTACACACTATACAGATATAGAATTCCACCCCACCAACATGACCTGACCACTGGACATGGCCATAATGCAATCCTACTACACACTATACAGATATAGACTACTACACCTCAACATGACCTGATTACTGGACATGGCCATAATACAATCCTACTACACACGATACAGATATAGAATACTATACCCCCCAACATGACCTGATCACTGGACATGGCCATAATACAATCCTATGACACACTATACAGATATAGAATTCTACACCTACAGCATGACCGGACCACTGGATATGGCCATAATACAATCCTACTACACACTATACAGCTATTCCAATACTACCTGGACATTTTGGAGAAAATGTTTTATGTTTTTTCTTCCATTTACCCTGAAGTGTGTACTTTCTTCTTTCTGACTGCTTGGGTAGAATTTATTAATATTATTGCTTAATTAATAAAGCTATCAGGCCCCTCAAATGTCACTATTTATAGGTGCTAAGGCTTTTGCATAGCTGTCTGCCTGAAAACCCTGTGCTAATCACCCACGCAGCAAGCTTAATTTTCTAAAAGATCATCCTTTTCCACTGGGAGCCAAGAGACTTATCTCCGAACAGCTCTCTGCCCCCCTTAAAACTGTCACTTGTCTGATTCAGGGGGAAAAACTGGAAAGAGATGACATGGTTTTCTCTCATTTCCTGGGCTGCGAATTCTGCAACATCTGGCACCCCGTCACCGGGAGATTATGCAACACCCAGCCGGGCGAGCAGATGTGCTCGGCAATCTCTGGAATAATCCAGTCTCAACAGGCAAATGAGATGAGTGCTTTAAATAAGCACAGCGCACGGTTCTACTTGCCCGATTCACCCCAGTCACAGTTGAGGAAAAAAAATTTGGAAATCTTAAATGCCAGCTAAAGGTCATTTTCAGCTATCAATGTACTACAACCCTCGGGGAGCGCTGAAAATACACACGTTGAGGAGCAGACTGGTGGCTATGGAGATGTCCTACCAGCTGAACTACTTCATTTTGGTGCAAAGGCTTCCTTTGCAGTAATAACGCACATTGGAAAGAGGCGCCAAAGCTTTTGTCACGTGACATTTCCAATCTTATACTATTTTATCCACTAGTATTGCTGTGACCATAGTAATCACTGTGACACATTGTAGTGTTTAGATAGCAAGTGTAAATTTCACCAAAGGTGTAGACTTGAGATCAGAATAGGGCGTAACATGAATCTTTGGCCAAGCAATGGACAATTAGGTATTCACCTTCTACAAGCAGTAAATGAGCTTTAAAATAAGCCCTCACTAACATTTATAGCTACAGGCACTGTGTAGTAATTAATCTTCAAATTTCACAGCAGTAGCACTGAAGCAGTCCCAGTTGCTCTCTCCTTGAACATCCTTCCCTGTATTAACTCTAGCCTTCTAATATTGAATATAAACAACATGTAGGAGGCTGACCTAGTGTTTTGCTTTATAGTGAGTCTAACTCTTGTAAAGGTGACAGGCTCAACTGGCGTTGGCAGTGGTGAACCATGCTCGAGACAGGGACACCCAGGAACAGTCCAAGCAGGTTTGTCCTGAACTTTTATTCAGCGAGGTAGTAAACAAATACAGTTCAATGAAGGAAGACTTTGTACAGCAAGGACTTAGCATAAAACATACAAAACATCTGCTCGTTTGATCCACTAACTAAACTCAGGCTAGTTCCCGACTATCAGGGTGCCCCCTAATGAGTTCCCCCCAAAACAACCACCTGCATGTGTACCGCTTAGTGTTCTGTCTGCAGGCAGCCTTTTCACCCAGCAGCAGGCTCCCATAGCAGAGCAAGAGTCCTGAGCCTCAGTCAGCTCACATATATAAAAGTCTGTGGACAGCTAAGACTAATGAGGTCTGGCTAACAAACAAGATATGGACCAAGGAATGGAAGGTTGATCCCACCCAAAACTATACAAAGCCTCTGGGTTCCAGGACACAAAAAGTTTGTTTCCAACACAACTGACACAAATCTGGGAGCCGCTCATCATGTGTAGGTGAGAAATCTAGGAGACACATACACACCATCCACGACCCCGCCAACCTAGAAAGCCGATTGCAGCCGCCTATTGTAGGGCCACAATGGTTCAATATAGGAGCCGCCACAATACCCTGGACAGATCTCAGTCTTCCAAGGAATGTAGGAACACAGGTCCTGATATTGCTTACTAGTGATCTGACGTTGTTGGGATTAATGTTACTTTTTTTTTTTGTTCTTAGACACAGACTGCAGTCGCCTATTGTAGGACCACAATGGTTCTGTATAGGAGCCACCACATTACCCTGGACAGATCTCAGGATCAGAGTAATGTAGGAACACAGGTCCTGATATGGATTACTGAAGATCACTGAAGATTTATGTTACTACACAGGATAGACACAGTTTTACTTCACCTTTAAACCTGCTCTAGTATTTACCAGAACCATTGTCATGTACATAGCAGTCAAAAAGGAGACAGTGTATGCACACTAGAGTACATTTTATAGGTTTTAGGACTTTTAGGCATGCTCCTACCATGTGATAGTTAACCATTTCCTGCAGGCTATCCCCAAATTTGTCCAGACACTCCTGAAAAAAAAAAAAAATTTGAAACAGATGAGTTGCCAACATTATTCTTTTGTATAGTATATCGCTGATTGGTTAAGTTGCAACAGACCTTAGATAGAAGTTAAATAGGTAAGCGCCATACAAACACTGAATGATCCATCAGGTAGCAGCTATATGATTCAAAGATTTAAAGAAGAACTCCAGGAATTAACAAAGATAACACTTGCAGTGGAATTACCCTCGCACTGCAAAGGTTAACTACCATTTTGGTCTAGGGGCCTGATTAAAGGAGATATATTCACATGATCCGAGATCCCGCCCGGCTGCTAAATCGGTCCCCGCAGCCTCTTCTTCCCCGGGCAGTCTAAGGACCTGTGACTTCATCACATCTAATGCAGGTCCAGGTGCATCACAAGGCCGGGTGTGACCCGGAGCAGAGACCGAGTGACACCTCTCAGTGACGTCATTGCGCAAACGCATGACGCCATTGCGCATACTCATGACGTCATCACGCACGCAGATCATCTAATTGACCCCTGCCGGTGGCCATCTTGGTGATGGACGCCGGCAGAGAGAGGAGGGGACGTTCACCCAGCGGGATGAGGTATGCCGCTGGGTCCTCTCCTGACACTGTCGTGCTCTCGGTCCATGACCGAGTGCCCGACTTTTTTGAGGGGGTGCGACAGTCATTTTGGTGTCACCCCTCCAATGGTATCATCCGGGTGCATGCCGCACCCCCCTGAGGGACAGCAGGAGCAGAGGGGGAGAGAGGTGAGTGCTGACCACCTCAGGGCCGAGGATCAGGTGAGTATATCTTCTGTATTCTGTACCCTAGAACAAAACAAGCAGGTAGTCCTTGCAGTGCAGGGGTAGCCCCACTACAAGGGTTATTTCTTTGAGTTCTTGTTTACGATGCCTGGCATCATGCCCTGCACACACCACAGTATATCAGAACTGGACAAAGCCCAGAAGCCAGGTCGCCAGTGCTCCTTAAAAAAGAGACAGCTGGCGCCTAACTTCTGAACTTTTCTCTAGTTATCAATGAACCTTGTTCCTGGACTGGACAGACTGGCTCTTGAATTTCATAATAATTTGTCCACCCCTGATATATATAATGGTGTCCTTCCTGCAAAACACCTTTTTCTGTAAACACCCGTCATAAGAGACAACTTAGATAAAAGAAAGAAACCTTCAACTTCTGAGGAAATGCTGTAAAACTCTAGCAAAGCAATAAATCATCCTCCTCAGTCTCAGTTATCTATAGCTCTGAAACTTACCGAGATCATCTCATCTTTTTTGCACTGATGGGCTAAATCTCGGATGCCGCTCACAAAGTGCTTGTTGGTGGTAAGGTAGGTTTTCCCGGCTTCTAACATTCCGCTGCATAGTTTTACCAACTGACAACAAAAAGAGGGAAAAAGAGAAGAAGTAGTTATTACCGGATACTTCATGGAGAAGACTGATGAACGATCAACCTGTCCCTGCTGCAACCCTTCACCTTAGGCTTGTAGAAGTAAAGTGACTGCTGTGGTTGATGGCAGCCAAGGGATGACAAGCAAGGTTATGTAAACACACATGCAGTGAGGATGGAAACAAAAATGCACTGACTCACCAAGGCTGCCAGTAAACCACAAATTGGACTGGGTGCAGATCAAGTAACTCTTTCAATGCTGGGTGCACTTATTAAAGGTGAGCTTATCCTCGAATGTCTCACCTTGGGGCAACACAGATCCTGAAATGGGCTCCGGAGTGGTTCCACATAGCACCCGCTCCCGCTGTTATCACTAGATGCCCTGAAGGGAAGGTCCCAAACCCCCGGAATAAGTTGGCTGAACTTGTTAAAACTACTACACATATAGTTTGAAACCAAATGTATTCCCTATTGGACTCTTCACTCAAGGTGCTCCTCATTGCACACACACAAACTTCCAAACTTCTCCTTTAATATTTCTTCCATGCGGGAATGTTGTTTCCTATATGGGCTCTAGCAGCCCCATGGCTTTTATTTAGATGTCTGCGTGTCAGATCCAGTAAATGTGGGTGTCTCGTGTGCAGACGTGGGAACGGTTTCCTCCTCATCTGGTGTCCAGACGGGCAGCAGGTCTGCTCCAGATCTGCAATACGTGGAGATATGACTGTGTGGGGATGCATACAACCCGGAGAATGCTCCCTCAGCACAAATGTCTGAAATGCTCTACAGCTCCATGGAAAACACTTTGAGGAATGTTTCCAGCTCAATGGCTGCAGATGTTGTGTCCCGGCTGTCTGTCAGTGGTAACAGTGTGTCTGCATTAAGGATGTAGAGCAGAGGGATGAGGTCACCTACTCTTGCGCCGGGAGATGCGGGATACAGGCTAGAAGGGCAGTCAGGCTGCGTGTGACAACTGCGACCTTGAAGTGCTCGGTACACACAATGTATTCCTCACCTTGTCAAGTTTGGCTTCAATTTCCACCACATCTGTTTCCACCTCGTCTATCGCTGCCCTGTAGGGAAAAAGACAAATTGAGAATAGTTCATATATTTGGCCAAATGCTAAACACAAATTTAAAGGAAGACACTTTACAATTTAATCGCTGACTTATTTACCATAAGGAGGTCCTCTGCCTAGTGCACAGCCAGCTTAAAGCGGACCTCAGGACCCACATTTATCCTTGGTCATTAAGTCGCGACCCATGGCACACCGCACTGGAGCACACGGCATTGCGCTATTGCGTGTTGCAATGTGGGCGATCGAAAACTGAGCAGGAGGTGCGTTTGCGTTGACCATTTAAATGAATGGGAATGCAACGCATCTCCCACACCAAAACACGTGGTAGCTGTGATTGCATGGTAAAGTGCGTTAATCGCACAGGATTGTGAGATTAACGCTCTGTGCTAGTGTGGACAGGCCCTCAAAAACACTGACAGATGCACACAACCACAATCTCACACACACACATACACACTCTTTTGTTTTTTTAAGATCCACCCAGTCTCCCTACCTAACAAGAACTGGAGTGGATTCTCGGCCTGGGGTCCAGTGTGGGCTGCTGTGCTGTGATGTAGCTCCTTCTATATGTGCATTGCTTGTACAGCCCCCTTGCGCGCCCTGTAGAGGTGCTGGGAGCCAGAATGTGATGCCACTCTAGTCCATGCACCTCTACAGGGCACACCAGGGAGCATGCGCGTATGGATGGAGCTCCCTTGCTGCCATACCCCCACCTCAAGCTGACACGCAGGGCAGCATATTTTGAATAGCTGCTCAGTGCGAGAACGGACAGTGCTGCACTAGGGGGAAGTTGAGGGGCCTCTCACCTAGCGGTGGAAGGCACGTGGGGACCCACTGAACATAGGGTTGCGACCCAGTATTGGCTCACACCCCACCAGTTGAGAACCACAGCTCTAAAGCAAAGGCTCACTTATTGTAATATTTATCTTCTAATATATACAAAAATGTTTACGAAGGACCTGAAAACATCCATTGTGCCTCAAACAGAGCACTCTAGGAAAGATCTAGCATATGGCCATGTGACTAATGCCAAGGCATTGGTCAAGTGGTGGTTGTCAAAGTCCGGCATTGAACAGTCAATCTCCATAGACTTGATTGCAACCATACCCCTGCACTTCCATTAACGTCTATGGGGAGTACCTAAGTAGCCTGGAGATTTCGAAGGGTGCAGCTGTCATGGGGAGGTAAGCAAACATCTGGATGAGGGGTTGTATGTTTGGTTAGTTTTAAGGGATAGGGTGGTGTGCTATTGAGTTTCTCAGTAAAAATGAAAGTTTCCTTTAAAGCAAACCTTTCCTGAGAGAAATATCAGGGCTACCATTGTGACTCAATGTACTAAATCAAGATGGCCAGCATGACAGCAAGGCAAATAGCACTTTTTGAACAGGTCAGCATTGGCAGCTTTTTCTCTAACCAACGAGACATCCATCTACATACATAAGACGCACGTGCCAGAAGTGCGGCAACAGATAAATCAACATGTTTTATCCCCAGCCATGCCCGCTTTACGTGCTTAATTCACCATTAATAAACTCTCCGCCCTCAGAATGGCTCTTCACAGTAAATCTCCCCCACTGAGGAACAAAGAGATGAGAGACAGACTCGTTTGGTTGCTGGTTCTAGAAAGGCTCACCCCACTCAGCAGTCCAAAAGCTCGCTCACGCCAAGCGTTTGACTCCCATCCTGCTGACTCAGACAAAAGACCGATTCCCCTGGCTTTGTAATGACAACAAAGAAACACTTCGAAACCAGAAAGAACTCAATGCAGGAGAAAACTCAAGGCAAACGTCTCAGCCGGAGATGGCCTATCATTAAATGCATTAATCACAGGAAGAGGAATGACTTCTAATGAGTGACATCCCATATACATCCAATTTTTTTCGGGACTGTCCACCGTTTTTTTTATAGGGATCCTTCAGTCAAGGTTAAAATTAAAAGTAGAATTCTTAATGCCAGGTTAGGTGCATTTGTGGTTTCCATCTTTGCACACTGTAAGCTGTAGCAGTGCCTTCCCACTGAGTGCCCATTCATATTTGAGGTGTGTTATTGCACACATGTTAATGCACATTATGGCACGGATCAATATGCATTGCTTTAAGGCAGTCCAGTCATAAAAAGTGGCTGTCAATGCACCACAATAGATAAAAAACACCATACATGACCCTTTTTGTAGCAACACAGCCCACCACAACACATGGTATATACATTGTGATACACTTCATTGTGTTGTGCATTGAGCTCTACTGTACAATGCATTGGGGTACCATTCATAATGAATGCCACCCAACACACTGCATATAGAGCAGTTGCACTGCCATGCTTTGCGGCAACATGCATTCACATGCACACGGCCACAATGCACAAGTGTGAACGAGTCGTGAAAGTCACAAATAAGCTGATGATAAAGCCACCCATAATCCGTCATAGGAGGAAGGTGGCGGCTGCCATTGCTGGCCTTATGAAAATGCTAGCTACCTGAGAAAGTGCGATCATGCAACTGTCACCTACGGCAACATCATTGATGAGGATGAGAACGGATAAGGAGGATTCACCAACTAACAGAACTGCAGCGTTTGCGATAGGCGTGATACTTCAGAATCTCTAGTATCAGGACCGTTCCTGGGACAAGCTGCGTTTTGTGCTACAGGCCTAAAATGAATGAAAAATGAATGTTTCTTCTCAGAGGCGCATCCAGACACAGTAAATCGTTTTCCTTTTTACATATTTATGACTGAATTTTCTGCTTGCCTTTTCCCAAGATCGCACAGACAGCAATGATAGCGGTAACCCAAAAAATGCAATCAAATCACTTTAGAACAGTCAGCCGTGAATCTGAGTGTCTCACATGCACTCCCTGCACATCTGGGCCAGGATATCCCTTCTTATACTGTATGGGTCATCACCAAACACCTTCCAGAGTCACCGTACTGATTGCTATACTGCTGCTAGTATAGCTTTCCAGACGATTTGTCCATGGAGGCCCCACCACTACATCAAAGCTAGGATATGGCTGAGGAAGGAAAAGGAGTGATTATATTCTATTAGATAAAAGATATCTAAACTTAAGACTTAAGAACAAATATGTAATATATTCCAGCTTATCAGTCCTTAGATGTGCTGCCTGTATCAGTTTTCAGTTTCAGAAAGTACCTATTGATCTAGCAGGAAACGCTGTGTCCTTGCGACTTCCAGTCTGCTGAACTGAAATCACAAACCTACCTATCTACCTACCCTTCCATCTACCAATCAACCTACCTACCGCATGATAAGGTGATAGAAGCCTGGGTGCAGTGCAGAAAACCACCAATACAGAAGGGGGTCTCACAGGTCTTGAAGAAATATCACAGTCTACCATTCAAAGCAGCTTTTATACAGGGGCAGATTTATACATCTCCCACTCAATTCATACATTGGGCGAAAGCCATTCGCACAGCATTCCCGCTACTAGATGAAGACAGGGAAGACAGGAAATTCCTTTGATCCATCTAGTGGAGGGAATGCTAAGTGAATGACTTTCACCCAATGTATGGATGAGTGTGATATTTATCAAATCGGCCCCTAAGTGTACAACATTTCAGTGGGGCACAGTCTTGAGTAAGGCTTGGTCAAGATTTAAGATCTGTGAGTACCTCTTTCTTTTTTTAACTATGCGTGTGTGCATCTACTATGTAAAAAAAGAAAACACGGATGCACATAAGGACACGGCTATTTCACAGACTTTCATAGTGTAATAAAGTAATTTCAGACAATAACCTGACACCGGGCCAAACTCTCAGAAGCTGCTGACAGAAGGATAGTAACTTTCCTGTTTCCTCTACGAATGTTTGTGGCTATTCTAGCCAGTGGTTATATTTATGCCTTTCCCATTCCAGCTGACAGTAACAATCCTGTCACAATACTGTGCGTTCCCCCGGTTCTATGCAAGTATGCATTTCCTGACGCTAATTTACTTATATTAATCAGGTAAGTCAACCACAAGTCTATCTAAAGTTCTCATCTGCAGTGTAGTATAGGGAAATTATACCAGGAATCTCAATGTTTGCTGCAGGCAACCAGCATCATTTTTTATATATTTACGTATGAGATCCACAACTTTCATACTTTTATATAACATACTGAAATGGTACAGCTCAAAGTCAATGCCTGCGTTCTGTTTAAATGGGTTTTATTCTTCTTTCGACACATCATGTTGTGACGCCGACGCACATGGCGGTGGAAAATGGCTTGGGTCTGGGATCTTAATGCGCATTCAAAAGTCAAAATGCACCAAACTTCCAAGCAAGCTCACTGACTCTGGTAAGGTGGCTCCAACAGCATAACCAGTCTCCCTTGGTAGGGTAACCAGAAGAAGCTTAGAGTGTAGACATACTGAATGGGTGTCAGACCAAACGGGTGAAAAAGATCAAAGAGTCTTTGAATATTCAATCACAAAGGAAAAACAGTCAACGTGTTTCGGGGGAACAACACTCCCCCTCATCAGGGCTTGAAACCACAATGTGGGGACTTGGGTTTCAATAATTAAGATCTGCTAAGTCCCAACATTATGGTTTCAAGCCCTGATGAAGGTGGGAGAGGGAGTAGTGCTGTCCCTGAAACACATTGGGACGTTGGGGGGAGCAGGCATGGCCAGCATTGATTGAATGATTAACTGGAATACATTTATGGGTGTGTAACCACAATAAAGCTAATCTTTGTAAGAATATTAGCAAAGTTTGGATATTTGAGACCATCTACGCTTTACAACAGTCACACTAATCCAAGGGCGCTTCTGCCACTACACCAGCAGGAAACTTTTTCCATACCCTATAAACTTTGACTGGAACAGATATTTACAAGCAGGGGTTCCCAGATTACTGACAATGGGGTGGGGTGGGGTAGGGTAGGGTAGGGTGGGATGGGCTTGTGCGCATTTCCAGTATTGGAAAGACAGCAAGTACCCCACATCGGGTATGTTTGGGAATAGGTCTTAAATTGGGGTTCTCAGATCACTGACAA